CGGTTTTAAGTGTATTCAATTCCAAGTTATTACAACCACACCACAAGACCAGTTGTTGAACTTCCCGTCTATATGCTAACTCATTTCTGTTTACTCTGTTCTGTGATTCCAATAGCCATTTAAAATAATCAGAACTTTTACTTGTCATGTGGCTGTGATTTGTAGTCAGGTGTCTTTTTAATTTTGCTGGAGCCATTGCTGCATTTTTCATTTGTTTGCCACAGATGAGGCGCAATGGAATAGGACAACCTGGATCACCAGTCCATATAAAACCCATTGATAAATAGCTTTCATTGTAAAGATGGACTTTTTTTTAATCCATTGATGTACCACTGCAGGGAAATGCCTGAGAAGATTTAAATTCTTCATTATCATTATCATCTTTAAACTTATCAGTATTGTCTGTTCTAGAATCCTCCTCTTCTCTCCCATACTTCCTCTTCAAAAATTGCCACATTAGACCCTCAGGCATGACTGAAAAAATGCGTACGAAATTTATTTAAAATAATGGGATAAAATAACGACAGGAAAACTGCAGGGAAAAGATGTGGGGGGAGAGTTTTTGTTTTGGAGCTATTTTGGGCTACTGTTAAGGGCATGTACAGTTTTTGAACAATATATCAAACTGTCATGAATGATACTGCAAAATGCATTGCAGGGACACAGATGACACCTGCATGCTAAGTTGGGTTAGCTGGCCTCTTCCCCTCTCTCTGCACTAGGAGCGCGTCAATCCAATTTCTCCTTTATTGCTCCCTTTTCCTCCACCTCTCCCAAGGACCTCTTTGCAAAATTAGAGGGGGGCTGATGCCTTGCAACCTCCAACACCCCTCTCCTTAATATTTGAGGAGTCCTCAACCTCTCCTGAAATCTTGGCACCCTGATGCCAAAGCCTTCACCACCACCACTTTTTTCCTTCCAGCCTTCCCCACCCAGCCCTGGATCTGCAGAAAGGCAGCCATGTGCCCAGTCCCAGATGTGCAGAAAGGCAGGTGTCTGCCTGCTGCTGAGAAAGGCAAGCATGCACCCAGCCCCAAATCTGCAGAAAGGCAGGCACGCGCCTGCTAGGAGAGCCCTGGTGGTATCGCTGACTCACATGTGCCCTCTCACCACCTGTTGCTTCTCCCTTCTGTCCTTGGCTGACTCCTCTGCTCGGCGCTCACTCTTCCATTCGGCTCACACTTGCACTCCTCCACTTGGCTTACACTCACACTACTCTGCTCAGCTCATACTCATTGGCTCATGCACTCCTGTGCATAATCCTCACCCAGGGTCTGTGTGTGCTCCATGATCCCCACCCCCGCCTGGGGTCTGCACATGCTCTGGCAGGCCAACCCAGAGTTGGAGATTGGAGAGGGGTTTTTTTTGGTCTCTGCTTTTTTTAAATCACAATTTCCTAGAGGAACCCCTAGGGACCTCTCACAGAACCCTAGGATTCCATAGAACCCTGGTTGAGAAACTCTGGTCTAATGGGAAAAAATGTCACTATATCCCTAAAAAAGGGAGCAAGTGTTGACGCTTGTTCTGTCTAGAAATATTTAGGCTAGACTAGGAAGAGTGGGTGGGTCAGAGTTAGATAATGCTGCTAGAAATTATTGCTAGTGCTTTCCACAGGCCTTCTCAGTGGCCCTTGTCTTCTATAATTAGACAGTGTCCATGGAAATGCCCAGAGGACAGATTAAATGAAGTAGATGGTTGCATATCCCCTTTTGAAACAATGCTCCACCCAAGGTCAGCTGAGCATCAACATGCTGGCATTCCAGAAAGCTTTTTGGAGTTTGATGGTATAATGGGTTCTGTTCCTATAGAAAGCAATTGTTATGACTGTTTTTCCTCATTGTATTAGTGGACCAAAAGGTTTATTTTGTTGTTGGCTTTGTGGTGTTGTTATGAATTTGTTATTTTATTTTTGTATTATCTGTAAACCTTTTTTAAACTCAGTGGCCCATCATTTGCAAGAATAAATAAATAAATAAACTTAGAAGCTACAATAAGAAGTAATGCCAAGCATCAATGGCTTAATAATCTGCCATTTGACAATAAAAGGTGTTAATTGGATCACGTCCAGTTAGTTTCTTAGATATAAGAAGCCTCTTTTCAAAGGAATGAAATATTTTATGAGAATTTGCTTAGAAAAATAAAAGTAAAATAGAAATTATATAAAGTTGGCTTTGGTAAGAATGTCTCCTGTTCTTCTTCTTTTTTTGCCAATACAGGTCCAAGGTATCAGATTTATCTAATTGGAGGATTTGTTTCACAGTTGGCTTTGGTAAGAATGTCTCCTGTTCTTCTTCTTTTTTTGCCAATACAGGTCCAAGGTATCAGATTTATCTAATTGGAGGATTTGTTTCACCATTGTTTGTTATACTAGCAGGACTGCTTACTTACAAGTTTTTCAAAGTTGACATTGTCCTTTGGTACCGGGATTGCTGCCCACATTTCAATAAAGGAAGTAAGTTCAGCTTCAGTAGTTTGATGCCCTCTGATAGAGAAGAATGAAGCTTTTGATGGCTTCTAGACAGTTTGTAGCTTTGCTTCTATAGCTGGTTTTGTGTCTCACCGTTTCTGCCCAATGGGCAGGATTACAACTTATCATTAGTATAAAGGACATACTTTTGTGATTTTAGCATTCTGTGATTGCATTGATAAGATAAGAACTGTGAATTATCTTAAGTGCTCCAATGTTGGGTTGTTGATTATAAATCTTGTGGGATTTAATCTCTTGAGATAAGCTACTTCTGAGAGTAGTCATTCAGAGCAGTTGGGGGCACACTAGAAACATTGCTATCTTCCTGTTATGAATAACAGGCAAATACTGTAGTTCCTGGGGAGGAAGAGAAGCCTTTTCCTCTTATATAAACAGCCTATGTGATAAAATTGTGAACTATGCAGTGAGTCCACACTAGCAAGAAAGGTTTCTTATTACAGATGTATTCAAATAATTGAAACCAAGGTGAATGACAGAACTGAATTTCCTTGGTTGTGTTATATACTGATTTTGTTCAGAAGTAGAATGCTTGAGAAGAGCTGTAATTTTGAATTGTATGGATTTTTTTTTCTCAATTAAAAACAAAGCAAAACAAAGAGGACATGATTTGGATGCTTCTCCAGACTCTTACCTCTTGTCTTGTATGGCTAGGGAAGGGCAGAGGAATACAGGAAAAACAAACTTGTATGAAGTCTTGTATACTGATATCCATAAACAGATATCTCCTTTGTATATTAATCATCCCAAGAAAACTGCAGGGACTTGTCCGGGCAGTCACTAGGAGTCAACACTGACTTGAAGGCATAAAATGAAATATTTCTTTATTTACTAATTACAGGTACAACTGTGTTCCAAAATGGCACCACAGTGACATTAATATTGTGAAAGGAATGGAAAAAACGTTATAAATAGCCATATTTTGTTTAAGATGTATTCTGAAAGATGAGATACTGTGTTTTTATTAGCATCTTGGCTTTTCTGTAAGGAATTTTAGCTCTAAGATACATACAGCAATGTTCACCTGTATTATCTTTCTAACAACCCAGTGAAGTAGAGAAACCCAAGATAGTGATGGCACTAGATTACTCAGGAAGCTTTAGTGAGTTATGATTCGAAACGCTGCTGGCCTGATGTTTTAATCCTGCTGTTCCAATTGCCAGGCTTAACCCATCCCAAACAGTCCTAAACTGACTTCCCAAATACCATTTTCAAGCTATTTGCTAATTTGACCATCTTGGGCTGTGGATTTCCCATCCTTGGAATATTGTATTAGAACATCTGACTGGGGATAGAAGAAATTTGCCTCCCAGAGTCTCCTCTACCTATTCCTAATATTTAAAAAGTCTGAAAAAAGTACGCTGAAAAATTTCTGTCCACTTAGTGGTGTTATTACATCACAAGATGGCCTACTGTGGCCCTCCAGAAGGTCAGGAGGCTATATTGTAGCCCCTGACCACTCAAACATTGCCTATCCCATTTTCCAGAACTATATATGCCTTTACAAAATTGTACATTTAAAAAACAAAGTGTGCTGAAATCCTTGTATTTTATACAAAATGAAATTGGAGATTTCAAAATAAAATATAGTATCCACCAGTCTTTTGGAATGGTTCCCGTTTAAATTGCTCTTGAGCTGAATCTCCAGATTTGCTCCAAGTTATTTATATAATTTGAATTTGTGATCATTAGTCTAATCTTAATCTTCAGTGTGTTAGATGTTGAATCATGAAAAAGGGCAGGAAATGTTTGGTTAATGAGCTTATGATATGTGTTTTTTTCACCATAATCTGTAGCTTGCTTAATAATAATATTCATGCTGAGTTCCATCTGTTTAATTAGTAATGATACATGCTGATATCCCTTGATGTCTTTTAGCTGAATGTATTTATTGTCTCAGCTAATAATTCAGGCACATGAACTGCAGTTTTCTATTACAAATTATCTCTTTTTTGTTGGCTGGAAAAAAGTTGTATCTGAGATAGACCCAAACCATAAATGGTTTCTGTTGGAAAAGTTTTGGTTAGCACAGAGTACTAAACTTGGTTTATCTCTTTCTTTCTTTCTAGTTTCAGATGGAAAGATCTATGATGCATATGTGTTATATCCCCACAATATATCAGGCTACATATATTTGACTAATACCTTTGTCTTAAAATTATTACCTGAAATCCTAGAAAAACAGTGTGGCTACAAGCTCTTCATTCTTGGAAGGGATGATGTACCAGGGCAAGGTATGTATTTTTAATATCTGTGCTTAGAATTTGTAAATAGTTCCTTAAAGGGCAACTCTTAGGTAAATGTATTGAAATACTGATCTGGTGGTAATGCTTGTATTATAGCATTCCTGATTGGGGTTTAAAACTTGTACTGCTTTGAGAACAAACATAATCATATACTTAAGGAGTGTATTGGATGTGGATAAAAGGATTCCAGCTGCTGCAGTTAGAACTGAGTTGGGTATGTATACACTTGTTCAAGAATTAGGGCATATAATTATTGGTGGAAAATGTATTCTGTGGAAATGGATAGAGTCCCAAGATTGTTCTTGATAGAACAGACTAAACTTCATTGAGACTACTCCGGGATAGTACAGTTTACAAATTACATTAGGAGTTGTGGTATTCCTGCCTCTGGCTTAGCAGAACCTGAGCAACAAGAAGTTAAGAAAATGGTCACAGAAAGAATTTCTGATATAGAATCTCAAAAGATGTAGCTACGGTGAGTAAGGCTGGTATGTTGAGATGGATGAGCTGCTACAAATGTAATTTAAAATTGAAAAATATTTAATTACCAAAATACCCAAGTATCTTAGGAGAGTGTTTCCCTGTGCAAGATTTGAACAACTAGATACAGTGGTAGAATATGGAAGGTTTAATCAAGTCCCCTATCATGAATGTACATGTATTTGTGGTGTACCAGAGACTGAGGATATAGCACATACATTATTTGAGTGCGATTGTATAGCATAGAGAGAGATCATTATTTTAAATCATATATTTATACGACAATGGCTGATTGGTACCCCATACCTTAGAGCAACATGTTTTATGTGTGGTTAGAACATAAATATTACATATAAAATGGCCTCCTTTTTGAATAAAACAGTGCAATTCAGAGCTGCATATACAATATAGATCTGATTGGGGTAAATCGTAAAAGGGATAAGGACACATGAGTTCAGTTTTTGCATTAGTTATTTTGTTACGGATAGTTTCAGTGAAATTTTTGTATTGTGATATGGCCTTATGGCTAATCAATAAACTGTTATTGTATTGAATTGTGTAGCATTCCTGATATAACCAGGTAGGGCTGAGAAGGAACCCATCTCAAACCCTGAAGATCCACTGGCATTCAAAATCTGGTAATTAGACAGACCAGTGGTCTAAGACAGGATCTATTTGTTTGTTTAAATGTGGAGGAAAACCGTCTATGATACTATATTTTCCTGGAGGAGGGTGGAATTGTCTTATCAGCTTTCAGGCCTCATTGGTATTTTCTTCCATCGCATCTCATCTTCCTATGAAAACTCTGAATAATCTGTTCCTTGGCTTTTCTCTCCATTCTGTTCTATGACTTCACTTTTTGGATTCATGCGTGCCTTGAGCATTTATCTTATCACTAAAAATTACTTTGTCCTTAATATTTCTTCAGTGGAATTCACCCTCCTTTGGACTGTCTCCATCTTTACTGTCAGCCCCAAGATGTAGACCAGACCAAGAAAACAATTTCACATTATGACTAAAACTACTTTTATTCAGATTGGCTATAGTAACAGAATCTTACAAGTCTGCTTATGGTTTACCTCCTCTCAAATTACTGTGAATTAGGGAGATGTCTCTCTCTGACATTTTCACGTTCCTCCTTCATTGCTTGGGCTTAAGCAACGTTTCCCTTTTTGTTGCTTTGGTAACAGATCTCCCTCCTGTTCGTCAAAGCCATCTTCTTTACTCTCCACATTTATACTTTCCCTTTTGGATTCCCAGTTATTTATATGCCTTGAATGTAGTGCTGTCTCAGTACCTTCATGCTGTCAAGAATGAATGCTGTTGTTCTTCTCTTTCTTTTTTTGTACTTTTGTTTTAATGGCAATATGAGAACTACTTTCCTCTAATAAAATGTTGAAAAGCCTACATCCATTGACTCATTCAAGAATCCTTTCAATATCATATGGCTGGAATTGTCTGAAAATTTGGGGGTATGGTTTATCCAAGTGTCCCCTTGATCTGTTCCCACAAAGCCCTAGTTTTGGATTTTATTCTTGCCATCACAGAATCAATATCTCCACTGATCTGCCTCAGTTCTTACTGCAATCAGTTATGTATAAATTACTTTAAAACAAACAAAAATGTTTAATATCAGAGCTGTGCAAGGACTGCTTAATGTATTTTATAGCCATACTGTTAGCTCTAGAAGAGCCTGATCCATCTTGTGTTCATGAAAGGGATGGCTTGTCCTGATTTGCATTTGAGGCTGGATTGTGAGTTAGAAAATAATGAGTTTGCCCTCCATTATCTAATGTGGAAGAAGCGCAAATGCCTAATAATGACTGTAACATTTGTATTAGAATTCAATGAAATTTGCAGGAAAGTTAGAGACTTCTGAGCAACATTTACCAGTTTTTATACCCATCTGAAATGGAGATTTTCCAGTTACATCATCTTTTGATAGAATGACTATTTGCTCAGATAACTCCTGTACCATTCTCAAAGCTCTAGTAATCCTTGGTTAGTGCAGACTGACTGAATGACCCTCCCATCTTCAGTCTGGTGAGAACTTTGCCTAATGCTAGTACAGAACGACCAAAGCGGGAAGGGGAATACTGATTATGAGACCAATATTCCATTATTTAAAATGTTATACAGTAAACAAACAAACTGTTGAATGATTTTCAGAGTAAGGATAAAAGAACTAAGGGAGGATGCTAGTCTGGCTCTGTC